TTTTATTAATTGTTGATATAATGATATCTATTTATACTAATTTATTAACTTTTTCGAATAGATAATGAAAATTAGGTGTACAACTAAGTGAACTGGCACATAAAAAAACTTACATATATGCTTTTACCTTTTACGATGCTTCGTTTCTAAGGAATCAATCTACATTTCCTTCTGTTGATTATGCTGTAATTTATGTTTATTATGTAAGTATTCATTTTTTATTTTATTTTAAATAATTACATTATCGAAAGAAAAATATTACCATAATTATAGCACTAAATTTTAGTTATATAGACTTCGAATCACAAGCATATTTTATAATATTTGGAACTCGTTCACTGTCAAAACAAAATAAATACGGAGACTTTATTTTAAAATTCTAGCACTTAATATTTTGTTATATAATAAAGGTTCAATCATTAATTCTTATAGAAATATATGGTTTCATAAATTTATTTCGCACAAGATGTAAAATAACAAGTCTGTCATCTCAATATACAGTATATTGTCAAGTTCATATTAATACCCATTTCTGCTTTTGTTAATAAAAGCTGCAATAAAGTTTATTTCATTCTTGCACAGTATAATGAAGTCTACCTTTTCTATTTACTTAAGTTTATCATATTCTTGTTGGGTAACCATTACTTTTAGAAGAGAAAACATATGTTATTATTATAATTTAAAAAACATTAATATTTTCAATTAATTTTTCAAAAAGCAATGCAAAAATAAAAATCAATTTTTTTATAAATATTTATTTAAGTGATGCAATGGTTTAAACATAAATAAAAAAAAATAACAGAAATAATTAAATCATTTGAGTAAAATTTAAATTTTTATAAAACATTTGAAAAAACCAGAATCATATATTTAGTTATAATTCAATAATTAATTAATCAAATTATATAAAACTTTACAAATGAGTTCTTTGATATATTAACAATAAGTTTGTTATAAGTCATATATATAAATATAATAATAATATTTTTTTTTAATTTTTATTTTTAATACACCAACAGTTGAAAAAAATAAATTAATAATTTTTTTATATATGCTTTATAATAAAAAACTGTTTGAAAAAATAATTAAAAAATTTTAACTCTATTTAAATTTTAAATATTTTTATATTTTCAAATACTATAAATATTTTTATATAAAATTATTTTATTGATTAATTTAATATAATTAATAATAATAATTTTTTAAAAATTATAACAGAAAAATATTTTTTTTGATTTTTTTTTAAAAAAATATCAGTTTTATATTTAAAATTAGCTTTAAAGTTAATATTATAATTACCAAAAAATTATATAATTTTTTTTATTTTTATCTTAAAAACAAATTTATAAAATTTTACAATATTTTAATAATTCTATTAATTTATTAATAAAAATATAAATCTAAAAAAATTCCAGTTTTTTTTTGCACCATACTGTATATTTAGATCTATTTTAAATTAATCTTACAGTTTATTTATAAACTTATCCAATATATCAATTACTATTGAAAAGATGAATTTGTATATTGAAAAAGATTGTTAGAAAATAAAAATCATATTACTAGTTTTAAACTATTTAACTTAATCTAAATTTTGTCTTAATTGCCTTTATTGAACTATATAAAATATTATTATAAAGATTAATTTCAATTATTTCAATCATTTATTATTATTAATTCTTAAGATGTATTAATGTAATATAATATTACTGTTTTTATCACTTGTAAAACTGATATTTTTTTTGAATTTTGATTTAATATTATATGATTCTTATTGAATATACTTGACTTGGTAATTTTTTTAGATTCTTATTACTTGTGGCTAATAATCTTGCTTTTTAGTTTATATTTTAAGTCCTTAAGAAATATTATTATTGAAATAAATATAATTTAAAAAATTTGATTGACAATACAATTCCAAATTAAATACAATTTCCAATTATTTACTAATTGTTACTTAATAATATAAATATAATATAGTTTTTAAAAAATTTCTAAATTAAATATGAATACATGTATAATTGGAATTAAATAGAATTATATAAAATCATATAAGGTTTATAATACTATTAAAAATAATAATGAGGTATATCTTATTTATTAAATTTAATATAAACTTAAAAATAAAATATAAAATCAAAAGGAATTGTTAATATTTTTAGGAATAGACCTATAAGTTTCAGATTAAAATAGATCAGTTTAGAATTAATCTTTTTAAATTATATAATAAAACCTACTATCTTTAATTTGAATTAAAATTAATAAGTTTTTTAAAGTTAGATCAGAAGTCTTTTTTTTATATAATCTTTCTTGCTTTAATCTGTTTTTAGCCTATAATTATTGAAAAGACTAGAAATTCTATCTTTATATAGCTTAACTAAATTTGATTATGATTAAAGATTATTAAATAAAAAATATACAGAATATTTAATAAATCTATATATGAATAATAATATGTGTTTATTAATTTTTTATAATTTTTTATTATATATTTTTTAAAATTTTATTTTTTGTCAATTTTTTTATCTAAAATTAAAATCAACAATATTGTTATAATGTATATATAATTGAAAATTCTTTTAAATAACTTTATTCTTTATATTTTCAAATATATTTATTTAATTTATTAATTATTAATTAAGTTTGTATATAGACAAAAAATAATGTTTCAAATTTGATTAAAAACTTTATTAATATATTGTATATCATATTTATAAATTATATAATTTTTTAAAAAAATTTATTTTACTTTAAATATCTATTTTAATAAATAACAATAATAGATTAATAAAATAATTATAAATAAGTTTGTTTTTTATATTTCAAAAAAAAATTTCTAAATTTTATTATTATTTATTAAATTATAAATACAACTATAATTTCAATTTTTTCTTTACACACGATATACGTATATACTGTATAATTGGCTGTTTTTTGTTAAAAAACCAAAAATTGTTTTTATAATTGATTGCAATAGTTGTACAAATTTTAAAAATCATGACAATTTACAGTATACAATACATGATAGCTTTTATTAAGATTTACAATTTATTGCACAAATTATATAAATCATGAAACTTATATTTTATTTTCTTATTATATGTGGCCACATAAATCTGGAAATAAGCTTTAAAAATTTTAATAAAAGATAAGGCATACATAAGAAACATCCATATAAGTAAGAAATTTAATATGAAAATCAATATATAAAAAAATAGGTGTACACCTAATTTTCGTCATCTATTCAAAACAATTCATTAAAAAAACATCGTAATATTAATAAATTCGATGATTATATAGATTTTAATATGCATATGTTAGAAATTAAATAACTTATTATATGTCTGAATCCAGCGAGTCGGATGGATTTTCCATTATAAACACACCCAGATTATTTGATGTGAATAAAACATGAGGATATTTAATACAGCATCTTTCCTGTCCTCTATACATGGTTCCCGTGGTTATTATGTCTTCATTAAGTTGTTCATAGATGCATTTTGCATTTGGACGTTGATTAGGATTCTGGATCCAACACTGTTGGTACATTTCTATATATTTACACGGAGTATGTAGGGTCGGATTTTCTTTTTTACCGAGTAATATATCCTTTATAGTATTATTATGACTTAAACCTTTAAATGGTGGCGTCCCGCTTGAGATTTCCCATAATACCATCCCCAAGCTGTAAACATCTGATTTTTCAGTGAAGTTGACATAACTTTCCGTATCCAGGATTATTGGATCTATAAATGCGAGGGCACCTTTAACCTCTGAAGTCTCTAAATTTTCATATAAGTTTATCGACATTCCAAAGTCGATAATCTTTGCTTTCTGTTTCCCATTAGATACTGATAAAACGACATTTCTAGTATGCTAATTACAGTATAATTTTTAAAAGATCCAAATGATTAACAATAATTATTTAACACAATATGAAAATATTTCCTTACTAGGTCTCTGTGTAAAACATGATTATCGTGTAGGTAGCTTAAACCACATGCGACCTGTTTGCCGATATTGATCCGTTTCTTCCAGGTAATATTTGGATTGCTCAAGAGGTATTCACGTAAATCACCCAACTCTGCATGTTCTAAAATAAATACATAAGATTTATCGGGTACTAAAGAATAGAATAATAGTTAACTTTCATTAAACAATACTATAATTACTAGTGACAAACGTACTTACAATGACTAATTACGTTAAAAAATATGTATATAATATATGGTGAAAGATATTTATACGTTAATTTAATTTTAATATAAATGTTTTATTGTTTTAATGCCTCGGTTAGTCATACCATAACCCGTAAAATTCTATGATGTTTTCATGAGTTTTTATAGAGGAAAAGATTTTAAGCTACAAATTCAGATACAGTACATTATTTCACATTATTTCTTTAAAAGAATAAAACACGCATGAAATATTATATACCTCTCTGGCAACTTCTATTTCGTCTGAATCTTTAATGATTTTTAAGATGACAGGCATTTTATTGTTATCATTTTCTAGTACTGCTTCTCGAACTTTGCATGTAGTGCCATTAGTCACGTGATTGGCCTTAAGCTGGTTATATTTAATGATAAAAAGTTAATGCACAGGTAAACTCTATAAAAGTCAGATACTTTGTAACTCAGAGCTCGATAAGTTGAACATAATTAATTCGTTGTTTTTTTTGTTTAAATACTCTTTATAAGTTAAACTACCATGATCTGCCTGTCGTGCCCGACTTATCAAGTTTCCTTGAGACAACATTTGAATTACGTAATTTAATACTTACTAAAAGACTTTTAACTTCTAAAAACAAACAATTAAACATTATAAGTTTGGTTGTCTGAATATTTTACAAAGTATGGGATAAATAGAAAGTCATGTTCTTTTTTTCGTTAAAACCAGGCCATTTATATACTTTATTTATGACTTACCTCAGTTTTTTTTTGTTGACGTGAATTTACAAAATTAGTTCTTGTATTACTCGAGTAAAGGTGAGCGGAGGTCCAATGATTGGTGCACAATTTCCTGATGACCATTTACGGTATGTGCAAGAGTAGAGTACAACATGCAAGAAAAAACTATGTTTACAAAAGATTTACAAGGTTATGTGGGTGTTAAGCACATTTTTAAAGAATGCTCTCATATACTTATTATCTGACCCAAACCTACGGTACACATTGCTGGCATATCCTATCCTGGATTTTTCAGAGTTTGTGTATGAGCTCTTGTGACCGATGCTAAAGTACATATGACGAGAAACTTAAATAGTTGCTGGTAATGCTTTTCGTTTTCTACCACCCAGAAACTTTTACTTATCATCCATAATCAATAATCACGACAAAGTCCCCTCTATAAATTCCGAACAAATATTTTAAAAATGCTGTACACTCTTTTTTAATGCATCGTAAAGAAAAGAAGCCGAGACAGAATGTGATCACGTGCCGAAATTGCGGGATAAGAAAGTCAAAATGCAGCGGAGAACAACCAAAAATGCGAGAGATGCTTTCGTCATGGACTTCGGTGCATATACCTCCGAGTTATAATATTGACAAGATAGTTCTGTGATCGTCGATACATTTTGAGATTGCACAAGAGGAATAAATTTTTTCTCTTGTTAATTAGGTTTCGTAGCATTTTAAATCACCAACATTAAATAAAAAAAAACATACAGGCAAAATTATACGCCTTAAAAACTACTAATCCCAAGGGTCGTACTCGTCCTTACAGATGTAACGAATGCCAAAAGGATTTCAACAGGCTGGAGCATCTAAACAAACACATACAGGCGCGAAACCTCATCAATGTGATTGGTCTGGTTGCGATAGGAAATTCTCGAGCCTTTCCTTTAGTTTTAGTTATTCTTTCCTTCCTGCCGCTGGTTACGCGAAATCTGCCATTAATTAGTGACAGACTTGCGACCTAACCTGCGATAATATTAATGTTAATAATTAGCTATTGAATAGGAATTAGAATATAAGTATAATAATATAATATGAAAATAAAGTAACCAATAATAATAATATAATTATATGAAATATTATTAATAATTCCATTACACTTGATTGATATTTATTTTTTTTTCACAATAATATACAATGAACTCATATATTATTTAATTAAAAAAAAGCAAAAAAAAAATTTATTTTGTAAAATCCGAAAAAATGATATTTATTGCACATATTAATAAATAAAAAAATGATTCTATACTACAATAATTAAATTTAATTTAATTAACTTATTAACTCTACAGTATGTTTTTCTAGATGGACATACTGTATGCTAGTTTTTTTTTTAATTTTTTATAAATATTGATATTATTTTTTCTCTTAAATTAATTTTTAAATTCAAAATAATTTAAATATAATATACTATCTTTATAATAAACATGTGACATAATCAATTATTCACAATAAATCAACACTTATGGTATTTTAAATTTTTTAAATAAATGGGATTTTTAAACTTTATTTGTTTCTCTTATATTAATAATCTTTATATCAAGTAAATTAATTATAACTTGTCAAAATATAAGTAATATATGTAAAATTTTAAAAATCCAAAATAATAAAAATAATAATTAACTATTTATTATACTATTAATTATATAAGTATGTTGCAAATAGTAATAATAATATATATGTGATATTTAAATTTTAAATTGTAATTTGGTTTTATATAACTATATACTGTAACTAGAAAAATATATATATTTTTAGATAAGCCAAAGTATAATCAAAGTGCAAAACTTGTATAGGTTAGTAACTATATGTTATTCTTTACAGTTTATTCTATATATATATCTTTTCCAAGTACTTCAATTCTAATATATAACATTTTACCTTTAATAATATTTAGGAATAGATCAATAAAAGATAAAAGTCTTATTATTAGTTTAAACTACTTAAACCTGTTTATAGTCTAGCTTGATTTGATTCTCAATTCTCAAATTTATATTAAATTTACTATGTAAGTTATAACTTATTATTATTTTTAATAATGTTTCAAATATTATGCAAGTCTATGTGAGTCTATTCGATTTCAATTTTGAAGACTATACCTATGATTCTATAGTATAATGACAATACTCTATAGATTATCAAGAAAAGATTTAGGATTTAAACTTATCTAGTTACAAAAATTTATTACCTTTATAATTGATTAACTAGCTTTTAATATATATTGTATCCAATTAACTAAAAATTAATTATCAAATTAAGTTAGACTGTATAAATATGGAACCTTTAGTCTTCTGATAATTGCAAACTAAAAATAGATTGAAGTAGAAAAGATTGCATAAGACAAGACTTCTGGTCTAACTTCAATATAAACCTATAATCCCAACTGAAATAATAGATTCTGTATTATCATATTTTTTATTTAAATTGACTAGTTTTTTAATTAGGTCATAATCAATTAGCTAGTACTCAAAACTAAATTGACAAACTTTGAAATTAAATCTCTACTACTATATTTGATATTAGTGCAATTTAGATTAGTAATCTAATTATAAAAAAGAGTTAAGTTATAAGTTAAAAAGAAGACTACCAAGAAGGTTTTTAACTGTTAAATAGAATTTTCCTTATCTGATATTTACAAGTAGGAAGATATAGCATAAATTAGAATATAAATCCATTTATGAGATATAAGTTGATATTCTGATAAAAAATTGCAATAAGCTAGGATTAATTTATAATACATATAAAGATTCTTAATATAATGGCTATAAATTCTTGTTTAATAAAAGTCTTGTATTTAATGCCTGTTTGTAATCAAAAAATAAATATATAAAAATAAATATAAATATAAATTTATATATACATGTATTTAAAATTAATTATTAAAAAAAACATATATATTATTATATAAATTCAAAAGTATTATTTAAGTTATATTTTTCAAATTAAGTAAATAAAAAAAGAAAAAGTATTAAAGAAATAATTAATAAAAAAAGAAATAAGTTGAATTACAATTATATATCATAATTTATATTTGTAAAAGTAAAAATTCTATCAAAATTATTATATAATATACTTTTTATTATTTAAAATTATAATTAAGATTTTTATTTTTATTTAATTAAAAAAGATATTCTTAAAAAAGTATTAAAAAATATCAACAAAAGTATCTATATTTATGAAATATTATGAAGCAATCACTGGTCTCTACTTTTAAAGACAAATTTGAGTTAAATCTAAAAATTTTAAAAAATAATAACATTTACTATATATTTAAAAAATTGTTATTATTTGATTTTATATAATATAAAATTACAATAAGTGGATTTTTTAAAACTAAAAAACTTGTAGACTTGAGTTTGTTTGGAATTGAAAATATTCTTTATTATAAGTCAAATAAAATATTTTTATAGAGAAGTTTAATTGAATTACACAAAACCGACTTAATAAAAAGTATTAATTGAAAAATACCTTGTAATTTGATATACAGTATACTATACAATATTTTTATTACATATTTATTAATTTTCTAATTAATATAAAATCCTTTAAGTGTATTATACATAAGGGTTTAAATATTCCAGCGTAAACAGTCCTCGGCGTAGGGTGTTTTTATTGTTGATTTTGCTTTTATGTAGTCACGTTAAAAATCGCCTAACCAATAGATTTACGTAGTGTTAAAGCGTTATCACGTGACCGTGGTTTTTACACTTGTGAAAACTCGACTTAATATAAATTATACACATAATGTTTAATTTATTCTATAATAGTAAAAATCATAGCAATTAGAATAGCACTATTTATAATACCACATATAAACAAAAATCGGCGGAATCGCCAAACTGGACAATTTTCGGCCTGTAGTCCGAACAATATCTTGGTGGTCTTGCAAATAACTCCTGCATTATTTTATCCAATAACTTGGTCGTACAATCAGATCTAGGGTTATTATAATTCTAGTTTTATAATCGATAGATTGAATAAATCACTGAATAAGTGCATTATCGGTTATTTGCGTTTTTATCATTGAGATGATAAAGAGATTACAATTACTGATTGCTTTTGGAATATATGAATGCGCTATTCAGAATAGAATATTCGTAATCAACGTGTATAACAGTGATTATTCCATGTAGAAAATACATACGTTTTGTGCTACGTCAGGTGTGCGAATACATATAAAGAGTATTGTGTATAGGTTAACAAAGTAATTAAGGCGAATCAAGTTTGGTATTTAATATTTATGCCGCAAACCGCGCTCCTAGATAACTTCACGTTCTTAACAATCCATCGTTCAACAGTATAATAACCAAATAGATGAAATTTATCGTTATAAACACCAGATCGATAAATATTGTTTATTTAATCATTATGGAATAACGTTTTATATTTGATACTATGTAACTTTAATTTATATTGGTTCATGTTATTAATATAGTTAACATTAAAGATCGTTTAAAAGAATATTGTAGCGTGAGTAATGGTAACGTGACCTGCGCCGGGTAACCTGTGTTCGCGGAAAAATCGTGAGATCTGACTAGGACAGAATATGTCGTATCAATAGGAAATAGCCATAAAGATATTACCAAATTTACAGCACAATATTATATTAAAAGGATCGATCTTGTCAGATCAATGCATTAAGAGTGTGAATGTAATGGTTTTACTGTAATTTTCATTTTACTTATTTATATATTTCGTTTTTATTGTGTTATCTCCTATTATTATGAAATAAATAAAAATTTACGTATAAAAGAAGGTAGAATTTAAGAAATAACACACGCCCCACCTGTAAAAAAATAACCAAATCTCCCTTCATTGTTACGCGAATCTGTGCTAACTCTAGCGACAGACTCGCTGATCGCCGCTTACATGTAACATTATTTATTCACCTTCTTAATCTAATTTTTTTTTTTTTATGACCAAATACACTAAGGTCGTGCATATAGTGTTTTAAAATTTTCTCCGTTACAACACAAGATTCGATTGCCGTTTCTTATAATGAAATAGTATCACATTTGTTGTTTTGTCTAATTGCTCGTAAATGTTATTAAAGTCAGGGATCGAAAGTTCTGTTATCTTTGTTCACGTTACTGCTTCAATATTAGATTTACCCTTAATGTCATTGTAACTTATGGGAAACATTCAGATATTGTAGATAAATAAATAATAACTAGATACTAAATTAAAAATGATGTTTTATTTGGAGAGGGTTTTTCATAGTCCAATTATGGGATTAGATAAACCGTATATTCGGAGTTGGCATAGTTGAAGTT